CTGATTTATGAACATCCTGTGTCTTGGGCCTCTGTGGAATTTGGGCTCCTCGTGTTTCAACTGTTCTTTATCAAATCTTACATTGTCTGATTCGGTCTAATATCCTACAGTTGGATGTGGAATTAGCTTTAATTTCACTAAATGCATTTCTTTGAGCTAATGACATGAGAACATGCTAAACTATGCTAGCGCCGTTTAATGGCCTTGGATAAAACAAATGAAATGTCAATGTCAGAAATGTGGCAGCAATCGAGTGATACTTATGTTATAATTAAGAATAACTCGCATGCTACCGCATTCGCTAAGTTTACAACAGCATTATGGTAGGATAAATCTCCATTTTCCACGTTACCTGTCTGCTGCTCACATTTTAAAGACTCGCAGCTAAGATACTGCTGCATAGCGCTGTAAAGGTAAATCCGCCTACCTCTCCACCTCCGCCTAAATAACCTTACGTCAGCCAAAATCAAAATATTTTAATTTGGGTTTATTATTATTGTTAGTGGCACATGGCATAGAAGCGTATTGTTATTTATAATAATAATAATAATAATAATTTACTATGAGAAGAGAGGAGCACTTTACACTTTTAGACAAAAGGGGCAGGGGCTTGAGCTAAACAGGTAAATTACACACAGCTGAAAACAATGAGGAATGATAGTCCAGGCAAGGGTACTGAGAAATTAAGTCCAATACAAAAACAATGATCTGGGAGGAGTGCCCTCTGGTGGCTGTCATAGGCACACCAACTTTGTTGTTTCGTTTTTCAGCACATCAAACAATATGTATCTCTTCCATGGAAGGCTTAAGACCATAAAAAGTCAAATTATTGCCTTCCGTCCAAATGCCTGCCTGCCAACCTATGCATGTGTATACCTCTGTGCAGCCAATAGAAAGAGTTTATGTCATGGCTACTGTAGCAGGCTGAGCCAGTGGGTGTTTAGCTGGTGAGGAAAAATAAAATTCAGATTCCATTTGAGAAGTGAAAGTCAAAATATACAGAGACAGGTAAAACAAAGGGAAACATTGGCTGTTTTTAGAAGATGGAGAAATTTGATGGAATGTTTGGGTTTTAATCAATATGATGAACTTTCAAAGTTTCTTCTTCAGAAACTTATGTGATTTGTTTTTCTTTTGTTTCTTCTTTTTTTTATTGATTGATTGATTAATTAATGGGTTGATCTGAAAGTAACATGACATGTAGACGTGTGTCTAAGTAAGGTGTCCAAGTATTATATAGAATACTATGTATTTATTTATTTATTTATGTTTGTTTATTTGTTTATATTTATTCATTCATTAGTTCGTTTACATATGTATCATATTTTAATGCCTTTGTGTATATATTTTGAGATGGTAATCTTTAAGCATGACTGTTTGGATTTATATGAAATGGTAACTATGAAATCGAGATGCACTTTCCTGCAAAGTTCAGCTTCAACCCTGATCAAACACACATAAACCAGCTAATTAAAATATGCAGGGCACTTGATACTTACAGACAGGTGTGTTTAATTAGGGCTGGAACTGCAGTCTGCAGGTCGCTAGATTTCAAGGAACAGGACTGTGGCCTGATTTAAATTGTACCTAAAATGTATCCATGCCATTGCATCAGATAACAAGTGTTCAAATAAGTGTTTTGATCAAATAAATGCTGCAAAAGCTAAATGTTTAGTTTGCTGAAGTAATAATGCATCACAAGTGCAACACTGCACTGGGTGTGCTAATCGAGCAAGTTTACTTTGTCAGAGAAGCCAAACAGAAGCTGCTTATGTGATGCAAACACCAATATGTATTAGTTTACATTTGGTTTGGCAAAATTGTTTTCAGGTCATAATATGTTGTAGTGCAAGGAACTGCAAAAAAAAACAAAAAAACTTGTTATTAACCAATGAACTATGGAAGCCCGTTTCCGCCACTAAATAAAAAAATATAATTCTGTAAGTCATAATAATGAGAAACTTTCTCAAAATTATGACTTAGTATCTCGTTATAATGAGAAACTTTCTCGTAATAATGACTTAGTTTCTCGAAATAATGACTTATTTTCTCATAATAATGACTTAGTTTCTCGTATTATATTTTTTTATTTAGTGGCGGAAACGGGCTTCCATAAATAAACTGATCTGTTATATTAATTTGTGTGAAAATACTAACTACTAACACACACGCACACACACACAGGTTTGTTTTTATGGTTTATGGGGACTCTCCATAGGCGTAATGGTTTTTATACTGTACAAACAGTATTTTCTATTGCCCTACACCAACCCTACCCCTAAACCTACCCCTTAAAGGAAACTTTCTGCATTTTTAGATTTTCAAAAGAACTCATTCTGAATTATTTATAAGCCTTTTGAATTACGGGGACACTGAAAATGTCCTCATAAAGCACCTTCTCGTTGTAATACCTATGTCATACCCATGTTATTATACAAATTTGTGTCCTCATAAACCACATAAACATGCACACACACACACACACATTTGTATAATAACATGGGTATTTTATAAATTTGTGTGTGTGTGTGTGCATGTTTATGTGGTTTATGAGGACACTGCTTTAAGTGAACTTCAGATACGATTCACATGTTCTGTGTCATATTTTTGGAGCATCTGATCACTGTCTGCTTTCATTATATGAAGAAGACCAGCATTAACATTCATATGAACATGCCCTTTTGTGCTCCACAAAAAAAAAAAAAACTTTTTTTTAAGTGAAATAAACATTGTGCAAAATGTTATTTGGAAAATGTGTTTGTCACTCTCACTGTGTTAAATTAAATCAATGTGAAATCACCGCTGTGAACTAAAGTGATGCTTTAGTCAAAACCATAATTTTTTTCCTGGATTGTTTTATAATTGCCACCATCAAAGCTGATGTATCATTTGGCAAGACTGATGCAAAAAGCCAAAATGCAAGTTTTAAGAAAAAAATTAATACATTTGCTGTCCCCTCAACATAACTCAACACACAGCCATTCGTGTCTAGACCAATGGCCACAAAAGTGAGCACACTCCTAAGTGACAATGTCCAAATTGGGCCCAATTAGCCATTTTCTCTCCCCGGTGTCATGTGACTCATTAGTGTTACAAGGTCTCAGGAGTGAATGGGGAGCAGGTGTATTAAATTGTGTGTTATCGCTATCACTCTTTCATACTGGTCACTGGAAGTTTAACATGGCACCTCATGGCAAAGAACTCTCTGATGATCTGAAAAAAAGAATTGTTGCTCTACATAAAGATGGCGTAGGCATTAAGAAGATTGCCAAGACCCTGAAACTGAGCTGCAGCATAGTAGCCAAGCTGTTTAACAGGATAGGTTCCACTCAGAACAGGCCTCGCCATGGTCGACCAAAGAAGTTGAGTGCACGTGCTCAGCGTCATATCCAGAGGTTGTGTTTGGGAAACAGACGCTGCCAGCATTGCTGCAGAGGTTGAAGGGGTGGGGCGTCAACCTGTCAGTGCTCAGACCATATGCCGCACACTGCATCAAATTGGTCTGCATGGCTGTCGTCCCAGAAGGAAGCCTCTTATAAAGATGATGCACAAGAAAGCCCGCAAACAGTTTGCTGAAGACAAGCAGACTAAGGACATGGATTACTGGAACCATGTGCTGTGGTCTGATGAGACCAAGATAAACTTTTTTGGTTCAGATGGTGTCAAGCGTGTGTGGCAGCAACCAGGTGAGGAGTACAAAGACAAGTGTGTCTTGCCTACAGTCAAGCATGGTGGTGGGAGTGTCATGGTCTGGGGCTGCATGAGTGCTGCCGTCACTGGGGAGCTACAGTTCATTGAGGGAACCATGAATGCCAACATGTACTGTGACATACTGAAGCAGAGCATGATTCCCTCCCTTCGGAGACTGGGCTGCAGGGCAGTATTCCAACATGATAACGACCCCAAACACACCTCCAAGATGACCACTGCCTTGCTAAAGAAGCTGAGGGTAAAGGTGATGGATTGGCCAAGCATGGGCATCCTCAAAAGGAAGGTGGAGGAGCGCAAGGTCTCTAACATCCACCATCTCTGTGATGTCGTCATGGAGGAGTGGAAGAGGACTCCAGTGGCAACCTTTGAAGCTCTGGTGAACTCCATGCCCAAGAGGGTTAAGGCAGTGCTGGAAAATAATGGTGGGTGCACAAAATATTGACACTTTGGGCCCAGTTTGGACATTTTCACTTAGGGGTGTACTCACTTTTGTGGCCAGCGGTTTAGACTTTAATGGCTATGTGTTGAGTTATTTTAAGGGGACAGCACATTTACACAAGCTGTACACTCACTACTTTACATTGTAGCAAAGTGTCATTTCAGTGTTGTCACATGAAAAGATATAATAACATATTTACAAAAAGGTGAGGGGTGTACTCACTTCTGTGAGATACTGTGTATATATATATATATATATAAGACAGTAATATATGTTTACAAAACGACCAGAAACAATGTGTAAACATTTCACAAATGCACGTGACATATCACAAACAATAAAGAAAACCATCCTGAAAGAAACAGCCAAACTAAACCAATCCACCCAAAGGGTCAGATGTGAAAGTTTTGACCCTTTTCTTCCATTCATGCAATATTGAGACATCAGCATCATCATTTGCCATGTGGTCTTTGCTCCATGCACGCAAGAAATGTTCTCCGGCTGTTTCTCAAACATTAGTCTGGAGTGGAAAGAGAAAGAAAATAAATAATTGAAGAAGAAAAAGCCTGAAGAAATCTCAGAGCACGCTGTGTGTACATATACAGTGCTTCTAATCCCGGGTGAGATTTGACAGATGCTCGGAGAACCAAACAAGACACATTGCACAAAAGGAAATGTATCCCAAAAGGAGAACAGAGGAGAAACAAACATCCCGGATGACACAATGATGCAGTATATAATCTTCAGATTATAAGCAGCTTTAAATCAGCAAAAATAAGAGGAGAAAATACCTGTTTTATGTTTAGGTAGGTTGAATGGCTGAATCCTTCCTTTTAGTTGCTTTTGTTTTAAAGCAGTGTTGATAATCACTTTGTGATTTTCCAATTTTTACACCTATTTTTTGGTCTAGCAGGTGAAAATGGTGTGTCTGCTTACTAAGTAAAGTAAAAGCGATAACAAACCTGATTTGAAGAATCATTCACTATGGAGTTCAAACACTGCAGGACAATGCACACAATTTATGTTTTAATAATTAATTGTAGAGGTATATTTAAAAAAAAACTTTTTTTTTTGTCTGTCATCTTAACGGTCCAATATAGGAAGCCTAATGTCAAGTACTGTAGTGCTGTGTCAAGTATACAGACACCAGAGTGAGTACAAATGATCCCAATGAACAGCACGAGTGAATAGGAGCAGTTAAGTGTCCTCAAAGATTTTACAAATAGTTATGTTGACAGGCAAATGAATCCCAGAGACTTTAAATAAACAACCATAAAGGGATGAAACATCTCTAGGTTACGCATGCAACCATGGTTCCCCGAGGGAATGAGACGCTGCGTCGAAACGCTATGGGAACGCCTTCAGCTTGACCACGCTCTTAATCACGTGTGTAATCAGTCCAATGGATGGGCGAGCTCAGGAACCGCTGAAACACCACCGCCTGTTTACGAGCTTCCTGAAACCTGTCGACGACGGAATTGATGGCGTCTCCGAACAGGCCAGAAGGCGCAAGCGGGGCGTCCATGAGGAAGACCCTGTCCTTCTCTTTCATATCAGACAGGGTCAACCACAGGAGTATCTCTGCTGCCAACAGAGCTGCTATAGATCTGCTGATGGTGCGGGCCATAGCTGGATCAAAAGCCCAATGTCCGAACAGATTGAGTGCCTTTTTCGCCCTTGTATTAAATCGCGCTTCAAGTTGCGCACACACGCTGCACCATCAAGCGATCGGGTCATCCAGAACTCAAACACTTCAGTTGAAACTTTGTGACTGCCAGAGATCTTCAAAAGCCTAAAGTCTTACAAACTCAGATTATTTCAGAAGAACTGCCAAAGCCTCTGCGCCACCAGGAAACCCCATTCATCAGGAGGGCATCCCCTGAAACTACATCTACAACTACAACTACAAACTACAACTGTCATCCAAACGACAGATCAGCAACCAATCAAAGGCGCTGCGATTCCCTCAATCAGCCAACAAGGAAACTCAGTTCAGCTTCCCAGTGCAAACGCAAGTAACAAAGTCTTCTATCTGCTGAAATCAGTGCTGTACTAATTAAGCAGTAAACATAAGCTAAGTCTCTGCTTTTATGAGTTTTCTCAGGTTGAATTTAAAGAACTCATAGAAAACGAGTGTTAGAACTTTGAGAACTTCCTCAGAACTCCGTTAAAATCATCATCCTTTCAACCGTATGTGTGTGGGTATGTGTGTGTGTTTTCATTAGTTTAGTTTAATGTAATCTAGAATAGCCAATAAACTTTTGTTTCATTATAAGAATTATTGTCTTGTGTTGTGAATTTTAAAGTTAAACTCTGCTCAGATCCTTAGTTACCTAGCTCGTAGCTTATAAATGATCACAAGCATTTATTAGCCTTTGGCCAGGGATAGTACAAATATTCAAGCTGGTAAGATATACTGATGTTAGTGTCTCGCTAGACGACTGTTGATAAAGTGTAAACTATCAATTTTGGAATCAGTTCAATCAGGTTGATTTTGAATCTTAAGATTCGATTCCCCCCTCTGAAAACCTGAGCTAAAATAAAAGAGTTAATTTTCCCTTCTTACACTGTCCTGCCCCAGCTGTTCATTTCATTATTACAAGTCATCTCAAGTCATCACAAGTCACTGCAAGTCATCACCAGTCATCTCTTCAATTTCATCATTGCTACAGACTGTTACAAACATTATTTGCACAAACACACATAAACTCTTTACTGATACAGACTGAACTGAACTGAAAACTTGAACTAGGTAATTGAACTGGGTTTGGTGTGAAAACTGAATCATCTGTTGAATCACAAGAGTCATTAAGTTCTGTATCAGTTACAAAATATTATTACTTATCTATAAGGCCCTTAATGGCTTAGATCCTGCGTACCTAACTAGTCTTCTACCATGCTACAATCCATCACGCTCCTTAAGGTCGTAAAACTCTGGACTTTTGGTAGTACCTAGGATAGCAAAGTCCACTAAAGGAGGTAGAGCTTTTTCACATTTGGCTCCCAAACTCAGGAATAGCCTTCCTGATAACGTTCGGGGTTCAGACACACTCTCTATGTTTAAATCTAGATTAAAGACACATCTCTTTGGCCAAGCATTCAAATAATGCATCTCATAATCTAGTACTGCAGTTATATGGAATCAAATGCACATTATTATTCTTTAGCTTGGGTTAAACAAATCAATTTTGCTTGGTTGAAACAGCAGCTACGCTAATTGTGTCTTTATTTGTTTCTCTGTTTTTGCCACGGGATTGACATCACGTGGTAACTAGGATTTACACAAGCTTCAGTCTGGATCCAGAACACCTGAGAAGAGATGATGCCAACCCCTCAGAGAATCTCAGATGATGCCAACCATGAAACAAAATACAGAACTACCACATTTTGCTATAAGTTTGATTGCATCATATAATAATTGCTGTTAATAATGTTCATCGTCTGTTTGATTACGTCTTTAATTTATTTTTCCGTACATTTCTGCCATATGTACATTAACTGACAGTCACCACTGATAAGCTAATACTAAATATTGTAGAAACCTAATTTGCTGTAAAGTTGCTTTGCAATGATTTGTATCGTGAAAAGCTCTATACAAATAAACTTGAATTGAATTGAATTTCAGAGTTCATTTGAACTGAGTCAAGAGTTATTTCTGAGTTTATTTGAAGTGAATCATTTTAATTCAAGAGTAATTTATTTGGTTCAGAGTTTTGTTTGAGATATCCAGTGCCATTTGGAAATATTTTTTTGTGTTTTGATATTCAAATGAATTCTGGGAAACTTGTGTATGAAGTGTTAAACAGAATTGTTGAACGGTTTATCAAAGTTTTTGATAACTTTTCATCAACTATTAGTTTTATTTCATTTGTTCATTTAAACAGAGCCAATTCTTTAAAAAAAAAAGTCCAGTTTCCTAAAAAGAGAAAAGGAATA